CCCCAAAGCCCCAGTTGATAGTTGTATGTCATAGTTGCACATTCTTCTAGTTGCTGTATGTGGGACTCGGCCTCAGCATGGCCGGAGAAGTGCGTCAGTGTGTGCCCGGGATCCAAACCCGGGCCGCCAGTAGCGGAGTGCGCACACTTAACCGCCAAGCCACGGGGCTGGCCCCCCCAAATCTTGATGACTGTGTCTTTGTAAAGGAAGGGAATGAACATTTTATTTATCAGTTTCTTAAACTTATGTACAGCTTTTCAAAAATTAGACACAGGGTGTGGGCCTCCATCCGTGTTCTTTGCTGGCTTTCAAATGGTAGGGGCAGGCCTGCCAACCTGTGCTTCCAGAGGTGCATCCCATCCCGGGCCACACTGAAGGGTGGCTGGTAAGGAGACTGCAGCTTCTGGTCCGCAGCCAGTCCCGAGGGAGATGGCCCCGGGGGTGCCTGCACTGGTGCTGCTGTCACTGCTGTCGGTGCCCAGCCTCCCACCCCGCGCCACCGGATGCCCCACCGCCTGCCGCTGCTACAGCACCACGGTGGAGTGCGGCGCCCTGCGGCTGCACATCATCCCGCCTGGAATCCCACCAGGGACACAGGTGGGCACCACGTGGGACCACCAGCCGAGGGCTAGGGGTGCACATGACAGGGAGAAACAGGTGTGTGAGCACTCTGGTGGGTGGATGGGGTGCCTGCCCTAGGGAAGGAGACTCCCTCAGCAGGGTAAACGCCCTCCCTCTCTCCCTCCTTCCGGCCGCAGACGCTGTTCCTGCAGGACAACAGCATCATGCGCCTGGAGCCAGGCGTCCTGGCGCCCCTCACCGCCCTGCGCCATCTCTACCTGCACAACAACAGCCTGCGCACCCTGGAGCCAGGCGCCTTCCACGCACAGCCGCGCCTGCTGGAGCTGGCGCTCACAAGCAACCGGCTGCGCGGCTTGCGGGTTGGCGCTTTCACTGGCCTGGCCCAGCTGCGCGTACTCTACCTGGCTGGTAACCAGCTGGTGCAGCTGCTGGATTTCACCTTCCTGCACTTGCCGGTGAGGGGTTTGGGGGTGGGGTAAGAAGGGGTCCTCCTGTACCACCACCTGCTCTGCCGGGCTGGAGTAGTGAAGGGGAGAAAAGTCAACCCAATCTAGCCTGGTAAGAAGGGGACTTGTCCCCCAGGGCCCCTATCCCTGATGATCTATCTGCTGTCCCTGCTTCAGCGACTGCAGGAGCTGCACCTGCAAGAAAACAGCATTGAGCTGCTGGAGGACAAGGCCCTGGCCGGGCTCTCCTCGCTGGCACTGCTGGACCTCAGCAGGAACCAGCTGGGCACCATCAGCCGTGAGGCCCTGCAGCCCCTGGCCAGCCTGCAGGTCTTGCGCCTCACAGGTACCTCTTTCTGGGGCAAGGGGTCTCATGCAAAGGTATCTTCCTTGGCCAGAGTGGTGGCAGTACGGAGCAGGCCCAGGTGTGGAGAGGGCTCCCATGGCAGTGGTTCTGAGCAGCAGACTGTCGGGCAGCACTCTGGAGGGCCACACCATTACCTGCAGCAATGACAGAAGGCTGCTAGGAATGGGGGTGCTGGTAGGGACACAGCTCAGGGACCCCGCCTAAGCAAGACAGAAAAGGGAGAGGTGTCCGAACAGACTGGACAGGGTTGAGGGGCTTGCACACCTTGGGGCCATCCAGATGGCAGGCAGGCAAAAACTGGAAAGATGAGACCAGAACTGGACGCCTTTCCAGGCGACAGCACCTGAAAACAAGGCTGACAGGATTTGCCAGGTTTTAGTGCCAGTGGGATGTCTATGTGGACACCGACGTTCCCCCAAAATAGTGGAACTTGTTGCAGAGAGAGACTTGAAGAGTGAGGGCTTTCTTAGAGACCAGTGAAGTGAACTGGAATGTGCATCACAGAACTCAAGAGGCAAGGGAAGAGCCTGCCCACACTCCAAGGAGCTTGGGGTCAGAGAAGGGGTGGCAGGGGTCCCCAACTCTGTGGGAGGTGGGCAAGGGGCTCCTGCTCTGCCCAACAGAACCCCAACTGCAGAGGCTGCGTTCTGGGGCCACCCCTGAGCTACCTCCCCACCACTGCTCTGCCTGCAGAGAACCCCTGGCGCTGTGACTGTGCCCTGCACTGGCTGGGAGCCTGGATCAAGGAGGGGGGTCAGCGGCTGCTAAGCTCCAGGGACAAGAAGATCACGTGTGCGGAGCCCCCGCGCCTCGCTCTTCAGAGTCTCTTGGATGTCTCTGGCAGTAGCCTCATCTGCATCCCGCCCTCTGTGCACGTGGAGCCGCTGGAGGTGACAGCCAACCTAGGGGAGGACCTGCGGGTGGCCTGCCAGGCTTCCGGCTACCCGCAGCCCCTGGTGACCTGGAGAAAGGTGGCCCAGCCTCGCGAGGGGCAGCCGCGCGCGCAGGCCCAGCCGGAGGGCGGGTCGCCGGCCCCGGGCGCGCCCGCGGCCTCCGACACAGGCAGCGGCATGCTCTTCCTCGCCAACATCACCCTGGCCCACGCTGGCAAGTACGAGTGCGAGGCCTCCAACGCCGGCGGCGCGGCCCGCGTGCCCTTCCAGCTGCTGGTCAACCTGTCCCGGCCACCGCCGCCGGCCGCGGGCCGCGAGCCCCT